ATAATGGAAAGGAAACAGGAAGGTAAAGGGAAAAAAAGAACCTGAAAGAGAATAACAGTAAGAAACAGGCCTTAATAAGGAAGATATGGATAAAAATTGGGTTAGTTTAAGGGAGGGGGGAGGGAAGGGTATACAAGGAACCTAGGGGATAAAGGGGAAGAAGGAGCTCAAGACAGGTAGGACCATAGGAGAAGGGTATTATTAAGGGACAAATGGGAAAAATCGGGGCACTTTAAATGGAGAAACCATTGTGGAAAGGTTAGACGAGATATTAATATCTAGCTAGTTTTAAAAAAAACAGAGGGAACCATGTTAATCGAACAACCTACTGACAAATTCTACATACAGCTAGCTCAAGGAACATAATGTATGTCTAGGCAAGGTTTATCTGAGAACTTTTTGTCTTTTCCCAAGCTTTATCTATATAGCACATGGAAATTAAAAGTATCAGACTGGCAGAATTAACCTTCTTGGATGTTTAACAGCCATCCTTTGAGGCCTATACTAATCTGGTCAGAGGGACATAAAGGACACTTTTTGCTTCTTACCCTCCAAGGTCGACTAAGTTCCAGGGGACTACAAGCATCTATTAAAATGTCCTGTAACCATGGTGAGTCACCTGTCCTCTTGATCAAGGAGGCCGAGGAGACCCCACCAGATGGACTTGAACTAGTGTCCAGTCTACAAAGATGAGGATCAACACAGAGGAAACATTTCCTCCATGCTTCCAAGTGAAGGCAGCCATGGTTGAGCAAGACCTTCCAGTTATCTTCACATAGATGTAACTGGTAAAAGAAAGGAGCCAGGGGCTCCTCCCAAGCCCATGTGACCCCTGAGGAACAGATCCTCAATCTTAAGAGTAAAAATAAATTGGTTTATCTGGGCCAACTATATCGTCTTAAGCACCCAAAGGAAAGTATAACCAACAATTAAAGGGATCAATATAATTCTTTAAGAGTCTATGTGTATAGCTAATGGCTACATAACAAGAAACAATGCCAGACGAGATACCTTCCTGAGTTGTTGGCCAGGATGGCCCAAGAGACTCCCAGACAGTAACTAAGCATAGAACTGGGAAAATGAACAGCAGACCTCAATCTTATCTAAAGGAACTGACTGCTGCTAGATGAGGAAGAGCTGATCTTCCGAAAACAAGAAACTCTAGATAGGCTGACTAGATTCAGCAGATGGACAACCACTGGGAAATGGCTGGGGGTGCCAACAGCACAGTGGACAGTAACAGGGATGACAGAGTATGTGGGCTCCAGTTGGGGGGCGGGGAGGCTGTGGGAGGGTGCCATTTGGGATGTGGGTATATAGGTGAATAAGATTGATTGGGATGTTCTGTATGAAATACACAAAAAAATCAACAAATAAAAAATGAATTATATTTAAGGAAGCAGAAAAATTTGCTTCATGTTAATTAGTAGAGGTGAAAAACAGTACCATTGAAACCTATCTGATGACTTTATATCCATGCTCAGGTGCCAAGGATCTTAGGAAGTAACCAACTGTGACTAGTAATAATCAGATAGAGATTAGAGACTGGTGTACAAACATCTAAGTGTAAGTTTCATTAAAAATTAATTTTTTTGTATGAAACAGTATATTTTAAAATGAAATAGAGATCTTTTATAAAGGTTAAAACCTCATTCAATTTTATGTCTTATACCGTTTATACTGAGTTCAATATTGTATAACTGTATTCTACCGTGAACCTAAAAATTTATAGCCAATTTTGAAAGAGCTGCATCTTTGCTCTGGAAATTGTATTGAATATGTTAATGCTGTAATGAAATGCTTCTTCTAATCATGGGGTTATTAAATAAATAATTCTTAAAAAAAACAAAAAACTTTGACTAGAAGCACCCTGTATGGGTGGATAATGCCCTGCCAGTAGCCAACAGGAGGGGTTAATTAACGGAAAATCCCAGTGACAAACGTGGGCTTCCTCCATACAAGTTGTTGGTTGGGGTGTCTCAGAGGCTCCAAAGCAACAGGGCTATTGCTATTGCTCTTGAAACTAGATGGAAAGACATTTTTCCAGAAGATACCACATACTTCGGTTGTAGGATATAAAGAAATCAAGCTGGAACTGAGCTGGCAATTTCCTCCCTGCTGGCCAGCTCTCATAGTGCCTGAAGATACTATGCAAGTTGCTGGGTAAGAAAAGATTTCAACTGTCCTACCCAGCTATGGACCCTACGTGCTATAATACCAACCCACCAGACAAGATGTACCTACTGGTGCAACTACGGCATGACTTTTATTTGGGTAACCGACTGCTTTTGGATTGCATATGAGGCCTGTTCCACAGGAGGAAATTCATGCTTGGCACTGTAAAACTGGTCAAGAGCCCACGGTTGGGGAGGTCACAGCCCTAGTGGAGAAACTAGGACTGTTGTTTTGTTAAATGGACATGTCAAACTGCCCTCTAAATACTTGTGTTTATGCCACAGATTAGTGCTGCTCTCGGCCTTTGTCACAGAAGCTTCTTTTCGGAGTGGGGAGCAGATAGAGCTGAGACTTACATCTGGTCAAAGTGTTGAGAATAAGTGACTGCTGAGTGTTTGGCCCAAAAGGGGTATGAGGATCCCCAAGGCTGTGGGAACACTGGAGAAGAGGGTGCGGATTTAATCTAAGAGCGAGGCTGGGCAAGAGTGCTGCAGAATGCTGCTTTGGCCGCCGTCCTCATGAGCTCACTGCAGCCATGCTCACTGGCACAGGACCTACAGAAGATTAGGCCTCTCAGCGTCTAGTCGTGGACGGGGGAGGGGCTCATGAGGCATCCCACCTCACTGAGGGTTACCGGCAGTCAGTCAGTGGTTGGTAGGGATGGGAATTCAAGTTTCTTCAGTGGTGTAGGCACTGACAAGTTGCCTATTGTTCCAGCAAATATCCCCATCAAAGCTCATACTAGCAACCCTAATTAAATTCAGTGAGGAGAGAGAGAGAGAGAGAGAGAGAGAGAGAGAGAGAGAGAGAGAGAGACAGAGAGAGAGAGACAGAGAGAGACAGAGAGAGACAGAGACAGAGAGAGGAGGGAGGGAGGGGGGACTGGAGGGGAGGGGAGGAGAAGGGAGGAGAGGGGAGAGGAGAGAAGAGGAGAACTAAGAACACCAAGATCGAACAGGAACTTGTTGGAAGAAAAGTTTCAGCTGCTCTTGTTGGAAGAAAAGTTCCAGCTGTGTGTGTGTGTGTGTGTGAGAGAGAGAGAGAGAGAGAGAGAGAGAGAGAGAGAGAGAGAGAGAGAATGACCAAAATTCATTATATACATGTATAAAATTGTCAAATAATTTGTTTTGTTGTTTTTTTTAAAACAACTCCAGTTACACAATGAAAAATCAAAACAATAACCATGAGCCTCATCACCTACCAATTGTGCCCCACTGGCACATTATTTTTCAAATTGGAGTATTTTTAAAAATATTTTTTTTATTTATTATTTTAATTTTACATGTATGAGTGTATTGCCTGCATGTATGTGAGTGCACCCATGTCATGCAATGCCGCAGAGGTCAGAAGAGGGCTTCGGATTCCCTTGGAACTGGAGTTAAGGATGGTTCGTAGCCGCCATGTGGGTGCTGGGAATTGAACCCATTTCTTATACAACTTTACACGTTATTTTGAGGAATAAATAAGGCAATATATAAAAAAGGACCTTTGAGAGCTCAAAGAATCACAAAATGTTAGTAAACTATTGTTATAAGACTCAAATTAGAGGACTGTATTCAAAATTTTTAATTCAAGTCTTAGAGTTTCTTAAGCCAAGTGCTACATCTGAGTAATGTCAGGTTTTTAAAATAAATAAAATTTTTGTTCTGAAATGGTTTAAGTTCCAAACTCTTCCAATAGTTCGTTAAAACTAAACATAGCATGTCATATTTATCTCTTAAAGTTCTTAGCAGCATACTGCTGTAGAATGCTGTCCTCTGAGCATAACAGTCATCCTCTTCATCAGAATGGCTGTGACTACTTGTAAGGGACTCTCAGGTTCAGGTCTGCTGATTGTTGATGTTCCATCATAGAAAGAGAGAGTGCATTGGATCCTCACCCAAGATTCTAGCCACTCTCTCTTGCACCTCCCAGCCAGTTGTATGTGATTCTGCCCTAGTTGCACCATGACATGGTCTCTTAGACTCTGGAGGTGCTTGGGCATGTAGAGGGCAGAAGATTAACTGAAGAGGGGAATTCATTGAGTGAGACTCTGGAGTGGTGGGGCTGCTTTGGGTCACCACATTCCTGTAGGTAACCCCTTACTCAGGCTCTGTGAGTAAAGCTCAAGTTAGACTGTGGTGGAGTCGTATTTGGTTTGTTTACATCTCCTCAGGAGAAGTTCATGTAACACACAATAAAAATTTTAAAAAGCCTAAAACTTTTGGTTTCTTCCTTTTATTTACAATACCTCAGCAGTTCTGTGACCAAGTTATAGAAAACGCTGTAATCAACAATCACCAAAGGAAAAAAGGGGAAACTACTTTTTACTCATCGAACACAAATGACATAATTTGTCATATTAATTGAAATGTATTTACTCATTAAAAATATTGGCTAAGCTAATTTTCTTTTTGGCTGCATATGAGATTTTATTAGGGAACACATGACTTGGGGGGGGGCATAGGACTCAGTGCATTGGGAGTCCTCAGGAGTGCAGGGCCCGCCACTCATGCAGGGGACATGATTGGGAATGTATCTGACCCCACAGCCAACAGGGATGAGGCACTTCTCAGATGCCATGTCTTCAAATTCATCTGCATTAAACTTGGTGAAGCCCTACTTCTTTGAGATACGAATCTTCTGGAAGCCAGGGAACTTGAACCTGGGTCTATGCAGGCCTCAATCACGTGTTCCTTATTCTGCAACTTGGTGCAGATGGACATGATGTCCTGGCCAATGTGATCCCTGGCCACTGTGCCCTGAGGCTTCCCAAAGGCACCCACATACCTGTCTGAATAGACTGGGGACAGCATTGAGATCAGAGACATGGATACCCACCAGAAGACTGACTCCCCGGTCCCTTAGAGCAGCCCATACATGCAACAGGCTGCATTACCAAGGAGGTTGCTGTTTGCAGCCATTGCACACCTGGCCCCCATGAGGAAAGGAACCTGGTTGGCTTCATTGGCTGCAGAGCTAAGTTTTTCTATATTTAAATTTTTTGAAAGACTAAGATAAAATAGCCAAACAAAATTAGATATAAAGTATTAAAGTATGTGTCAGAGACTCAGAGAAAGCAAATTATAAAATGAGTAACACAGTTAAGAAAATCAAAAGATGTTCTCATGTAACCCAGTACCATGTACAATGAACATAAGCCAATGGGAAAAGAAAATAAAGGAGCTTATCTTTAAAAACCCAAGACATTTGTCCCATTTTAGGACCACTACTAATCTTTTAAAAATCCAGGAAAATCTGATCTTTCACCTTCATTCCTACTGAAAAGTTCAAAAAGTTGATTTGACAATTCCAGCATAAAAGCACTTAGTTGCCAAAATGGGCAAGAAGAAGAAAGGTGGCAGCTGGCCCCACACAACTGACCAGGTCAGCCTTCATCAAGGTTTGACTGGAAGACAGTACTGTCCTCAGGAGTGCTGGAAATGAGCAGAGATGGGAACATTCCTGGATGGTCCAGGGAAGAAGCTTATCCTTCTAAAACTCTCTTGTGAGGCTGTAAGAACACGGTTCCATGTGTCAGCATTTTTTTTATACCACCCCCACTCCCCATCAAGGAGTGAAATGTGAAAAGAAGTACATGCAAATCTGATACCACTCATAAACTACACAGCTGACCCTTTCTGGAAAAAAGTCATAAGTAAAAAGAGTAGTGATCCTGGGCAAGGAACAATTTTTAACAAATCATTTTTTTTGTTACGTTTACAATACAGTATTTTGACTAAGTCCAACCAAATGGTGTTTTAAATATTATTATTTTTTAAATGATGTGTATGTGTGTGTGTCCATGTATAGGTTTGTGCACGAGTATGGTGCTAGAGGTAGGCTGTCTGATGGGGTACTGGGAATTGAATTCAGGTCCTCTGGAAAAGTAGCATGTGCTCCTAACCACTGAGACATCTCTCCAACCCCCAGAATCATTTTTATATCATTTCAAAATAATAAAGATTTTCTATTTGTGGCTAATGTACTTAATGAATGACTGTCTGGGTAAACATTCTACTAAACTGTGTTAACCACTAAATTCTAACACTATTGTTGGGTGTGGTGGTGCACACCTTTAATCCAAGCACTTGGGAGGCAGAGGCAGATGGATCTCTGTGAGTTTGAGGTCAGTCTGGTCTATATAGGGAGTCTCAGAAAGACAAAGGAAAAAGAAAAGAATCTAACACTACTGCCTTCTAAATTCCTCTGCTGAAGCATTGGCCCCAATGGATAGTATTTGGAGACAGGGCCTTTGGAAAGTAGAGTGAGACAAGATCAAAGTAACCTTAGGACAAGATGGCAGAGAATTATTTCTCTCTCTGCCACATGAAGACACAGTGAGGAGGCAGCTGTCTGCAAGCAGGACGTCTTCACCAGAAGCCATATCAGCTGACACTTGGGTCTTGGACTTCCAGACTGTGAGAAAATAAAATTCCTATCATTTAAGCCATCTATCTAGGAGATTTTGCTATGGTAACCCAAGAAGATTAATGTGCCATATAACATGAAGTGGGAAAGTTGCAGGAAAGGACTTTGGGCTTGATTCACACTAATATGGAATGATGAGGCAAACTGTGTGTCCAATTAGGAAAGGAGCATAGTGACTCATTCATTTTATCCCAGATCTAATCAACAGGATGGTCGGACAGCTCTATCACTTCACTTCCTTACTGCCTATGAAATGTGAAAAGCAACGATTTCCAATGCATATCAAAACTACGCTACTGAATTTGGAGATCATCACCAATTCTCTTCTGAACAGCCCCAGCTATGTTACAGTTGGACCTCTGACACCAGTGGCCTTCTCTGAGCTCTGACATGTGTGATCCATAGATTCTATCTTTGGCATTAGAGGACAGGATCCATCTGGGTTATAACTGTTTACAGAATGCCTTGGCAGTACAAAAGGCAGAGATAAAGAAGCCTGCTAGCATCTATCCCCAGGGGTTATCTCTCACTAAAGCCTGACTGACAGACCTGCAGTAGAAAGCAGTTGATTGGAGGTCTTTACAGCAATGGGTCTGTCAAGAACTTGATCTACTTCAACATGAAAGCTGGCACACAAATCAATAATGAGACAGCAAATCAAATCATTATAAGACTAGAATACCATTCCTGTGAGCTGGTTAATTCTGTTCGCAGGAATGCCTGATAGCAGTAAAGTTGAAGGAACTGCACTGGCAGGATTAACCTTGGGAAAAGGAGAAAACGCAGCGCTACGGTCTAAAGAGCAGCTGAGGCAGTGTGTGATGGAAATAAACATTAAAGGACACAAAGAGGTTCAATCGTAGATAGAAGCATCCGTGTGCGGAAACAGTGGGTAAGATGTGCCGAACTTAAAGCATGCTTGTTCAGCCCAGCCCAGTGCGTGTTGGCACTTCAAGAAGAATATATCAAAATCTAACCCAACAATTAATGCTTAATCTTGATTAGTATTAAAAGAAAAAAAAATCACTGTACAAACTCAGAAACGAATGTTCATCTGAGATGCCTTATTACCCTCTAAAGAAGGAAAAAAAACCCCACAAAAGAAACACCCAACCAATAAAAAACCCCAGTATATTATCTAAATCTCCCAACTTTTCTTTTAAAAATGACACTACAATGAATGACTTAGAAGCAGCTACAAGTCAACAATTTATAATGAATTTGACCTTCAAAGACTATAAGTGAATAATTTGTTCACCAATCAAAAATGTCCTAGGGACTAACTTAAGGCAAATTTTCATAAAGAAACATACTGAGAGCTTGCTCTTGCCAATAAGCAAGCATGCAGGGGATGTTCACTTAGACAGGGAAGGCCTTGGTGAAATTCATTAAGGATGAAGTAAACACAGTAAAACTATGTGGACAGTCAATAGCGTGTGTCATTCCAGGAGCAGAAAAAGGTGCACGGCTGGAGTCTCCAAGGCTGAAGGACCGATCAGCAGTGAACAGGACGCTGCACGATGCGACCTATGCACTGTTCATCCCTGTGTCTGACTGAACATCTTTCTGACTATTAGGTAAAACTTTCGGCAGTTATTTTTGGCAGACCACTAACTTCCACCAATCCCAATGGTAAGGACGGCATCAGAAACCATCTGAAGCCGCAGCACTTTTACTACCTTGCTGTAGTCTGCCCACCCGGTCCCCACCAATATATTTGGTAAATACATTGATTTATGACTATCTTTTGTTCTGATAAAAGCTAATGTACCTGATTCTATGGCAACACAAAAGTTTGGTACATCTTACCCACCATTTCCACACACAGATGCTTTCATTATGACTTAACCTTTTTGTGTCTGTTCTATTCAGGGCGACCTGAATCCATGTTCCTGGGCCACAGTCACTCACATTTTGGCTCAGAATAAGCTATCGGATTTGTTTTTAGGTGAGAGCTGTGTCTTGCATTGTCAAATGTCTTTTCCTCTTCGGAGAGAACCTCACAAGTCCACAGACTTTCTGATGCTGTCTGGGTCTATTACAGAAACAGCATTCTAAAAGTTTTCTGTGAATGTTGTGGAAGGGCACTGTGGACACAGCATGGGGGAGGCTTGTGTTTGTCATATGTTTCACGAGATTCAATTAGGGAGTGGAGTGGTGACACCATGCCAGACAAGCAGAGAACCCTGTTGGAACTTTGAGTTTCTATATGAAATGCTTTTAGGTCATTCTAGTGGACCCCTAAGGAGAATCAATCTAGGCTGAAAAGGATACCTGTTCCAGGGTGAATGTCTCCTGTAGGAGTAAAGGGCTTTTTTCACAGCTAGGTCTAGAAGACCCGAGTAAATACATGTGTGCATAATGTGTGCTCGAGATGGGAGTAGGAAGGAGTGCTTTGCCTTTGGATTTTTGAGATTTGTGGTGCTAAAAAAGAATGCTCCAGAGGAACCTGTTTTCCAAAATGCCACGAGGAGGGGCCTAGGGATTATCAAATGACAGTGACAGCATTGCAAACCATCTTTGCATTCCTTTCCCAGAGTGCCACAATCCAGTGAGGGAGCCAAAGCGGGGACTCTGCTGGCACCACACCAGTTTCCAATCCTGAGTCTTGAGTCTATGACCATGGCCCTGAATTTCTTTGTTTGTTTCTAAGCTTTGAAAGGATTTCATAATATAACCTAGGGGTTCAGAACAGGGGTCTTCAGTAGGCATTGGATCCCTTCCTCTGAGAATAAGGAAGGATATCTTAGTTGCCCAAAATAGTCACATAACTTAGTGCAGAACTGGGACTCACAGTCAAGTCTTTCTTCTTGTAACACTTGCACTGGTATCCAGAGAGGTGGCAGAAATGTTTTTGCTTTAGGGAAGCTGGAATGGTCTCCTTAGAGGAGATGAATGGTAGCTGTTTGCTCATTTATGTACCTTCATCCTTCCCTTGCTGGACTCACTAAAGTCCCCACAGACATACTGTGTTTACTAACTTGGAATTTGGACATCCACCCTAGATGTTGAAAGAAAAAAAGAATCCCTGTCTCTGGAAAACTACTGCCTCAAACTGCAAGCTCAACAGTGCCCTTGAAAGTATAACCAAATAAATCATTTAAGCTGTTCTAAGCCAGTTTTGTTGCAGCAATAAGCAGAAAGAGCTGTATTTTACGTTTTTAAAAAAAATGTTGGTTAACACAATGAAACTCCTTTGCCAGAGGTAACTTACATGTTCAGGGAAGTGAAAAGCTAGTGCTATGATTTCTCCTAATTTTTTCCCAAGAAATATTTATTATTTTTATTTTATGTGTATGAGTGCATTGCCTACATGTATGTAAGTACATCTGTGTCTTGCAATGACTGGAGTTATGGATGGTTGTTAGCCACCATGTGGGTGGGTGTTAGAAACTGAACCTGGGTCTTCGGCAAGAACAGCCAGAGCTCTTAACTGTGAGCCACTTCTCCAGCCCCGATCTCTCCTAACTTTTCACCTAACCCTCATAATAGAGAAGGGGCTCAGGACTGTTTTGAATCGTCTCCATTTTCTTGCCTCATGAGAACTAAAAGTGCACAGTATCACTTCATTCCCTACTCCATGCTTCCTCACAGAACTCTCAGTTGTGAAGATTCATGCTCACCAGCACCTACTTTCAATCTCTTATCCAAACTTATGATCTCAACAATTAAATACCAGATTTGGGTAGAAAATAGATGCAGATATTCCTTTTTTTCCCCTAAACAGAGAAATTAATTTTCTTACATTACCAGAAGAATTACTTTCTTTCTTCCTAACTCCTTTAGCCTGCCAACGATTTCCTATAACCCTTGAATTGCAGCTGTAACCTTCTATCCTCCATCATCACACAGACATTCTTGCCGTCTCTGATTTTACATGACCATCTTTTAAAAATATTTTTATTACGCTTTTGTACATTTCATATGCCAGTTCTTAATCAAATAAGACCCCCTCCCCCATTCATCACCCCACACCCTTCCCCACCAGGCCTCGTGTATTCTGCCACACGTTAACTCTCATCCAATCAAACATTTTACCTGGACGTCTTTTAGTGCAAGTTCATCCACTGAGTCTATTCAGACTATCCAGAGATCCTAAGGAAGGTTTACTCTCCCTCATCCAGCAGTAACCAGTTTCCCATAGCTCTCAGGCTAGGGCTGGCCTGCCACCCATTTCCCTTGAACCACCCTGGGCCCTTGTCTGATTGAGTTGGCATGGGTCTTAGATGTACTTGACACCTGCCACAAGTTTACATAACCAAGTTTCCAGTAGCCTGAAAGCCTGTTTCCCTATATTCATGGACTAACCCTGGCTCTTCCCCAATGGTCCCTGAGCCATGGGTGGGTGAGATTTAATACAGGAGTCCTATTCAAGGACATATTCTTAATGCAGAGTATTCTTAACAGGACAAAACTTTCATTGGAGTGTGTCTCTCAACAGTCAGTTTTACTGAAAATCATTTTTATTCATGGCCCATCCATTTTATTTTTAAGGATTCTGACAAGTTTGCGCTTACTGTTTTCTTATATGCTACAGCTGCTGAAATCCTCAGAGTCTGATTCTATCATTATGTCTAACTTGGGAGTTAAATAAACATGCCAAATCTTTTAGGCCTCTGGCATTTATTTCCTTATACCTCCAGATGCTGCCTCCATGGCTCAGAAGAAAGGGGCACTTCCCTGAATACTCACGAGACACCTGGAGTATGGCTTTACATGAGAAGGCTGAATCTTTTAGAGGAACACTTGAATAAGTTTCTTTATACAGATGCAAAGTACTTACCCGATTCGTATTTTCAGCATGCCACTGAATAACTCAGGGTTATTGGAGATGATCCAGCCGATATGGATCACCAGTTCTTGCTGAATGACTGCTTCTCTCTCATCATGGGTATTACATTTACAATAGATGATGTTCTTAATTACTCTCGGAGACAAAGGATTAGAGATAACCTCTTCTTCATGTCCAAAGGCACCCAGAGTTACCTACAAGTGGCAGAATATTACTGTAAAAATTTCCTAGCTACTAAAAGATAAAGGAGGGCAAAAAAAAATATGAAGGTTCAGAGTGACTGGCAGGCTGAAATTGCTCTATACAAGCTAGGGAATTAGGTAGAATAACTGTTCCTGATATTTATTAAAAAGGCTTTCAAAGTATGACTCCCACTGGAATTCATGATAGTTCAGAGTCTGATCTAAAATATAAGGTCAGGTGAAGGTCTCAGGGGCACGGGATATAAATAACTAGTAATTTGGGAGCAACAATTTTAGTACTAGAAACTCCCTAGAAGAACCAGAATATACTGAATACTTGTATTTCACTGCGCAGTCTACTCAACTCGGCATTTGTGAGATTTATTTTTACAGTTTTTTGAGTAAAACCTTTTGCTCTTTAACATTTCAACCTTCCGAACGCGAAAGGAAGAAGGCCATACAGTTCTGTGTAGACCTCATTTTCCTTGGCATAATGTTAGGCACACAGAGAGGGCTACATGGCATCAGATTGCTCACGGTGGAGGTAATGGATGAGGTTGCCCACAAGCCTACAAAAGGGAAAAGCACACAGCACACAGCAAGGAAAGCTCAAAGTAGAATCGGCTGCTGGAACTGGCAACAGAGTGCTCTCACTTCTGTCTCCTTGACCATCTGCCTCTGGGAGGAGTCTTCGGCTGCTGCTCCTCCTCCCCAACAATTTCCATCTCTTTGTGAACTGCTCACAATTGTAAAAGGAAGGAAAGAGAAAAGCACCTCAAAGAAGTGTGCTTTAGAGGTGAGGGCTGAGGAGGAGAAAAACAGAGTCTTTTGTCCCAATTTTGTAAAGGAGGAAAAGTAAGAGCTAGTCTGGCAGAGTGGCACATGTCTGAAATCCCACTACATTTGGAGGCTGAAGCAGGAGGATCACGAGTTGGGAACTAGCCTGGGCTATACAGTGACACTCATGTCTCTAAATAAATAAACAAATCTTTAAAACAAACAATACAATAAACTACTGGTTTATCATACAATAATGACACCAACCAGTTAGGAGGAGTGTGATTATTTCTATTAAAGTGTTACCATGTAAAGAAGAAAACGGAGGGCACATTATTGACTTCTGGAAACACTGGTGACTGAACTACTTTTCATCCTAGAGAGCCTGAGACAGCCCAAAAGTCCTTTGTGGAAACCACCCTACTTCAGTCTCAGGACATCATCTTATAGACCAAATGCACACTGCTCCATTTCCTTTTTTTTTTTTTGTCTGTGAAGGGATAGGTTGAAGTCAATGAACAAACTGCATGCTCCTGTCATAGACTTACCTGCTGATTACCTAGGCTTACCCTGCTTGGTAAGGGAAGGGAATGTGAGAGCAGGGCCTTAGAATGCAGGCTTCAAGGCTTCTCTAGATAGCGTGTAGAATGGAGCAGACAAACCCAAGCCCACCCCTCCTGGTATCAGATGCCAGTAGCCTCTAGGAACTCTAAATCCTTATCAGTGTTCATGGGCAGGACAATTAACAATACTTTCAGTACTATAGGAAGTAAAAATCAAGGAAAAATAAGTTCCCAAAGTCTATTTAACATTCTTTCATAGCTGAAATGGTGTGGGACAAAAACTCCACTAAACTCTGGCTGTGGCTGGAAGTAAAGATTCTGGTAAAGAAAGGCACTGGGTAAGTTATTTCCTGTACTTTGGTTGCTTTTAGCTGACAGTGATGAAAAGCTTACCTACTTAAAATTTGTACAGCAAAGAGAAAGCAATATATCTGAAAAGCAACTTTTCCTCAGGAGTCTTAAGAGCCTAAAATATGAGCAACTGGTTGACTGTATTAAAGAGGGTTTAGGCATTCCATTATTACTAAAGTGTACTATATTCCTAAGTTAGTTGTCAGAAAAACACAACAGAAAAAGAAAGCAAAGCGGTTTTCATTCTAATCAAACAACTAATCAGTCAGGTAATAAGAGTCTGCAGAAAACAAATCAAAAAATGAGCAGCACCTCACTCCACATAGGCACATGCACAGATCAATGCAACCCACATTTACCAAACATTAATAAGCCAGGTTCCATGCTGAGCACACTGGGACATGTACTAGACAAGATCTAAGCCCTGACCTTCATGTGCTCACCATGAGGCAAGACACACACATTCCAATCAACTAAGATTGTGCAAAGTGCCACAGGCCTGCTATGACAGAAAGACCATTGCTAACTAGTAAGCAGGGGTGACACAGTTGATTTGGAGGGTAAGGGATCCAGGAAGCAACATGGACATCCACATTATGGCTCTCCTTGAACACCAATGCATTTCTAAGGAGCAGGTAGGCAGAGCTCAGGTAAAACAGAAGGAAAATATGTCCTTTGCTATGTACTTATCTCTGTTTTGCGTAGCCTAAACCTGTCTAGAGTACACCATAGGCACATCATTCCATTTTCTACAGCAGGATCTTCACTGACTTTAAGTAAACATGGGTGCTGAAAATTATAGCTCTACAGTGTAGCAGGAAAAGAAGATGGCCCATTAAGTGCTCTGTAGCTGTAAGACTGTGCAAGCATCCTTTCTGCTTGAGGAAGGAGATGTTTGAAGAAATGATCAAGCCACTGTTAATCTCTTTGTGAGAGGTCTGTGACATTGACGTATGCAAGACTTAAAAATAAGGGTCCTAACCAAAAACTTGTGACTGTGAGTGAAAAGCAGATACTCACCTGTTTGCCCTGCACTAAAACATTTGTAATGGATGGGGCCAGGCTGTCCACTACTTTACTTAAGAGACTCGCTGCACGGCGTACAACCGACCTGGGGGCAAAGAAGAAAGCAGGCCAGATCTTCAAATAGAAAAGATGAATAAATGGTACCCTTGACTGGAGAACCTTAAAAATATACACAGTTGGGTCCTCACATAGTTATTCAGAGGAAGTACAAAACTGTCATTAGACATAACCCTTGAAAAACCATCTAAGAATTAGGAAGGGTGGGGTCTCACCCTTATCACTGCCACCAGGCTGTGTCAAAGGCATCATTAGTGCCAGGGTCAATTGAAACAAACAGAAAAAGAAAAAGGACTCTACTTATTCCTTTAATTAGGACAGGGGAGAGAAGAATTAAGACAGTATTCTGAGTTTTGCATTAATAGCTATGCAAAAAAATTACTGACACATATGACCTATTCCTAAACTGTGTTTACCTTTTAATATTTATTTTTAATTGTGTATATGTGTATGTGTATCTGACTGTGTATAGGTAGGTATGTGCCCATGGAGACTGGAGGAATTAGAAGACCCTAGAGCTGGAGTTCCAGGCAGTTGCTAGCTGCTGGATAAGGGTGCTGGGAACCAAACTCAGGTTCTCTGCAGGAATAGTTCACAGTCTTAACCACTGAGCCATCTCTCTAGCTAGCCCTAAATTATGTTTCTTTTGGTACCTAGATAATCAAATGTCTGGATTAGGAGACTTGCTTAGTACTGAATTTCAGAAAGCACTACAATAAAATATCCTCACTTTTTTTTCTTGATAAAGCTAAAATGTTGGGGGAAGGAATCCACACTGCTATCTTTTAATTCCTGAAAGAAGTGTTATAGAAACAACAGATTCTCCGTACCCCAAGATACCACATGCAATACAGAAGACATTTCCCCCCTTAAAGGAAAAATGTAGTGGGAACAGTTATAGAAAGTAAAAATAAAATGTAGGTTTGAAACTAGCCAAAAAAATTTTTTTGTGTGTTTCAGATATCCATAGAAACTGACTGATAACAAGCATTTACATTTCTCAATTTCAACATAAATGGACGAGTAGAAAATCAAGCCAATGACTGAGTTAGTGAAACGAATATTTCCCATTTCTAGAGAGAAACTTTTACTAAATATTTCAACACCAAAAGACACATTTAACCTCAGAGTGCAAATAAACCCACACATTTCAAGCAGTTGGAGTTTCCAAATTCTGTGCATGTTACCTGTTTCCCATGTACCAGAAAGGTAGTAATGTGAGGGGCTATAGAGGAAGAAAATTTCTGGGTAAATGCAGCCCCGTAGCGCACAGCCAACCTGGGGTCAGTGGAAAGCCATAAAAGGGAAAGTAGAATAAATGAAATTTCCAGGAGTTTGTTCTCTTAAATATAACAGTCAGCATTTCTACATGTTTGCTACTTATTGTTTTATCTATGTAAATAAAATGCAGAAGCAAAAATAGGTTTACTTAGCCAAAACAATACTATCGGCTGTATTTGAAGCATACTGGCTATAAAGAACATCTTTTGACGCTTGTCTTACTGTACTGAGAATTTACAGTGGAAATTCAAGATAGTTAAACCATAAGATTATTATTTCTCCAGGTAGGAACAGAGATTCACTATAAAATAAAGATGAAGCACTACTAAGAAGTTATTTTATCTAGTTCCCTTACTTCAGAGACTAGAAACCTGAAGGGCTTACTGAGGTGAAAGGAGTTTCTTATGAAATTGCTTGAGACTTAAAAAATTTAAATAAAAATGATCATTTAAAACACATACTCTGATGTTTGATATTTGTTAGATTCTGCTAATAAGGTATCAAAAGGCAGAGTCATGTATTTAGGTGTACCCTCCTAACTGTGAATTTAAGCATCTTAATTATGACTCTTTCTACTAAAATGATGAGAGAATTAACTTTCATTATTTTTGTTTGTGATTAAATGGTCTTTCATGGCCTTCTAGGACAATAGAACAGGTTTTCTAAACATAAAGTAGAACTTAAAGCACCTTGTTGGGATAGAAAGGTACAGAGTAGAAAAGAGTCATTGCATGATTCCAGGGAGGAGTCTCCTGACCCAACCCCTGGGGAAGGTTTTATTCCCAGACATTTTTCTTTTGTGTCTTGTGACATGGGAACATCCTGAGAAAGTATACAGACAAAATGTTATAACCTTAAAGTTTAAAAGTAAGAATGAGGATGAATAACATCTTTAAAACTGAATTGTTATCTTTAAGCTACTGAATACGGCGATATAAAAAAGAAAACACAGTGACGAGAAAACCAGTACAAACCAGAGCTTTCTGCTGCCAGCTCTTCTGTACACTCTTTCAATGTGGTCAGAAACAGCACCTAGACATCGGACAGGAAAGTCTTTGTTGAAAAATAGTTTTTAACTCAATGTACAACATTTATTCCTCCTTAAAAAAAGCAAAATGTTCATTTTGTTCTGATCTGACTAGTTTTGGTATGTAACCCAAATATGAAGCATGTGTTCCCAACACTTTTATTGCTTAGTCTAAATATATGACTTGGTACACATTTCTTGAAATTCAATTGTTTTCTTAATATGTAATCTAAACTTTTAAACAAATACAGATGCTATTTTAACTTTTTACAGAAAACAGAATATACTAAACTAATTAGTAACTCAACAAGTACAGTAGACAAGGATAATGATGCTTCTTCATTTACTTGTTCAATGAAGTTTTACGGAGGCCCTGTTAAGTTTTCTATGGGGCTATGATCACCCCCAACACTATACTAGAGGTCAGAATATCTCTGGGCTTCACATTTTAGCCACTGTTTACATGTGGCCTGAATTTTTAACTGTTTTTTGTCAATAAGTAAACAATGTGACAGAATAGGGCATCAAAAAGTAAGAATATGGAACAAGAAACAAGATCTTTACTACTTTCCTCTCAACTTATTTTTATAGCCTTAAATTAGATAAAATTATATCCAGATTCTGTAAATATCTGTTAGTCTTAATTTATCACAAAGTATCACAGAAAATATTTAAAAGCTGGGCCTAATGGTACAAGTCTGTATTCCTAGCTACTAGGGAGGCTGAGGTTAGAGGATTGCAAGGGCAAGGCTTGCCTGGGTCACAGAATGGGTTGAAGGCTAGCATGGATAACTTAGTGAGATTCTGTCTCAGAACAAAATGTCAAAACAAAGCTGTGAATATAGCTCAGTGCAGAGTGCTTCCCTAGAAACATAAGGCTCCAGGTTCAATCCCCAGTACTGCAAAAATAAAAACAAAAAATCAAATTTAAAGTCTTTCAGATATCCAAGCAAAAGATGAATATTTCCAAGTTTTAAAAAATTATTTAAAAATAACTCCCAGCAACAAATACTAAAAACAAGTAAACAAACATAAACCCCCAAGATAATTCTCAACTTTTTATTGTAAAATATGTTATATAATTTAAAAATTTAAAACATTATTAAACTAATCATTCTAAATCTATGTTCCTAGTAAAATGTTTAATTCTTTTTTAAAGTTTAACTTATAAAAATTTTACTTCTTTTTGGTTTAACTAAAGTTTAAATGTCAATGACTATCCTTAATATAATTAAGATTCTGCTTATACTGAGTTTTAAGATTAATTAGAAACATGAAGAATTTGTCTGAAATCTACTTAATAATACTCAAGAAGCATAATTACTACAATAATGCAAAAATGAAGACTTCATTTGAATAACTATTTTTACTTCATTACCAGAACCATAAATATTACTATTACACTGGTGTTTAGGACATTTGAATTTTAACCAAATCAACACATACTTCTGAAAAGAGTGTTTCCAGATAAGCTAAAAAAATCTGAATGGCTAGAAATTAAATACTTGGGGTATGTTGTATATTGCTCTGTATTATAAAATACTGTAAACAGATTATGATGTAGAAGTGAAGGATTTCTTACAGTAATGACCTGACATACAAATATGGATTTCAGGGTAAACTGAGTTTCCTCCTCAATGTAGAATGGGCACAGACAAGATTAGAAGCAACTTATTTTGATTAACTATCTTCAGAGCAAAATTCTATTAAGTTCCATGTTCCTTCCAAACAGCTACTGAAAAAAAGGAAGAAGCCAATTTTCATAAACATTCAATATTATTCTTGAAAAATTGCATGAAATAAAACTGGAACCAGAAATGTCAATAAACAGCTATGGAAGGATCAGAAGTTAGCAGTCATGGATGGAATCCAGGCACTAATACTGGACAAGCAACAGAGAAACAACAAAGCACTGCTGCTTGCAAAATGGAAGCCATTTAGGAGTTCCTGCATCAGTCTAGTCCACTGTAGGGGTGAATCAACACTTCCCATTTAAAGGGGGGAGGAGGGGTCTGATGGATTAATTGTAACAGTCAGTAGGAATTTTTATGTATAGCTGATAGATGTTCAGATTACACAGATTGTATTATGAAAAATGTTCTCCTGGTCATATACTCTTACCTTCCATTGTGATGAAGTTAGGGCCTTCTCTTTTGAGCAGTATACCCAGCAGGATGGTTTGGCTAGCAAGACAATTGCAGTCCTGAAAGCATCAATCAGCATAAAGAGCTGTGATGAAATGAATGTGAATACCCATAGAAGCTAACTAATAACAAAAGCACATGATGCAGAGTGTGAATATTCTGTTATGAAATTGAGGAAAGATAAAATGTTACCGATATAATAAATACAATATGACATATAGACCTGTTTGCCTTAGCTACCTTGTAGCAGAGAGCAGACAAGCTGGCTTCTGGGTTTAGTAATATTTAATGATCTTTTCCAGTAAAAAAGATAAGAAATGGATGGACTCCAAGCATTAATACTGATTCTGCTACTACGTGAGACTTGGCCAAATCACTCTCTTTTTTATTTTACTTCTTTATAAATGGGATGCCACATTGCTGTCAACTTCTATGGAGAAATGCATGACAGAAGGAACATATACAGAATATGAAATATGTTTATATTTCAGTGAATTGTGCTGTGTCCTTTATAACTGTTACATCATATTTAAGCTTACATGGTATGCTGGATAGCTTTAGTGTCAACCTGACACACCTGGGTTGAGGGAGCCTCAATTAGGCAATTTCCTCCATTGGACTAGCCTGTGGCCATGTCTATGGGGCATCTTCTTGATTATTGTGTGATGTGGGAGGGCCCAGTACACTGTGGGTGGTGCCACCCCTGGGCAGGTGGGCCTGTGTTGCATAAGAAAGCAGGCTGAGCAGGAGTCAGGGGAGCAAGCCAGTAAGCAGTGTTCCCTCCACGGCCTGTGCTCCAGCTCCTGCCTCCAGGTTCCTACCCTGAGTTCCTACCTTGGGCTCCCTGATGAACTGTGACCCAGGAGATGTAAGATAAAACAAACCCTTTCCTCCCCAAGTTGGGTCAGAGTATTTTGTCACAGCAATGGAGAGACAAATTAGAACACATGGATTAGTAACAAGGACTCATCATGCCTGGTAAGGTAAGTCTACATACTCAAATCTGCATGGTCTGAACAAAATCCAGTGTTTACAGTTGTAGTAAAATTTCATTTTTTAAAATATGTGAATGATCTCAGAAAATATCAATAAGCTGCCAAAACCCTCATATTGCAGTCAGAAGAATGCCTTCTTCAGTGACAAAGCAGTCGGACCCAAACTTTAGGGTAGGAGAGATGTGGATGAAACACGGAGGGAGGGCCAGATATCATTGACTTGATGCCTCTAATGTTTCATATGACACATTCCTATCCAAGAAAATTGTATTCATCTGACTCTTTAACACCTCCAGGCTGGTTTCAGGCCCAAAGGACAACTTCTGACTGACTGTCCTGGGCACAGACAAGGCACCCACTTACTTGTCTGCTTCCTTCTGAGAGGACACAAACATACACGATCTGACAGGGGGTTCCTGTTCTGGAAACTTCTTAGGGCTGGTGGGGATTCCATTTTCCTTACATTCAACTTTTGAAGAATTTCGTGGGTGGATTTGTCTTTCCATTCAGTAACGGTGATATCTGGCTGATGTTTCAGTTCAGGAGCATCTGCGGTGCTGCTCTGTCGCTTGACTTTTGAATGTTTGGGAACCTCTAGTTCTTCAAAGCTCTTAAATTCTGGAAGCCTGAAAATTACAAGAAAAATATTGCAGATCTCCCGCTTTTCTAATGTAACAAGAATGCAAAAACTTAGTAACTTAAGGGTACCTACTTTTCCGTGTCACTGATTCGAAGGAAGTCAAGCTGCTCTACCACTGCTCCAGATATTAGTGTCTGAAATGTGAAGGTTCAGAACTTTTATATTCATGTAGCTATACTTTATGTTCATACTTTTCTATAAGTAATACTTTAAAAAGTTTATTTAAGAAATACAATTCTGAGGCTGGGTATGGTGGCGCACCCCTTTAATCCCAGCACTCGGGAGGCAGAGGCAGGCAGATCTCTGTGAGTTCGAGGCCAGCCTGGTCTACATAGTGAGTTCCAGGACAGCTGGGGCTACAGAGAGACCCTGTTTAAAAAAAAAGAGAGACAAAAAGAAAAAAAGAAATGTAATTCTGAAGTAACGTCAAGAGAGAGAATTCTAAAACCGGAAAGATCTCAACATATAACAAAATAAAACAGAATAAAAACACCTATAAATAGACTACATCTGTTCTAGCTTGTGTCTCCATTGCTGTGACAAAACACTCTGACCAGTACCAAGTTGGGGAGGAAAGGTTTTATTTGTCTTACATCTTCCGGGTCACAGTTCATCACTGACGGAGCCCAAGGTAGGAACTCAGGGCAGGAGCCTGGAGGCAGGAGCTGAATGGACATTCTGTTCTTAGAATTATAGGCATTTATTTATTTGTTTGTTTGTTTGTTTATTTATATATTATTTATTACAGTACTAAGGATTGAACCCAGAGTCTTGTGCCTGCTAGGCAAGTGTTGCATCACCGATAATTTAAACTCCCATCCTTATAGGCATCTATTTTAATGTAGGAACTAAAACAATTCAGTGCTTATTGAAATTTGAAAAAAAGAAGTACTCAAATTGTTTTAGGAAAAGACAACAGAAAATTACACTTTGGATCCTGCTACGGTAATATACTTCAGGGCCATCCAATGATGCACTCGCCAACTCTCCATTTTTCAGGACTGTGAAGGTTATGATCATCAGAGTTAGTGTTTCTCTGCATTCTGGTACATGGTAACCCATATTTAGTCATTTTGTATTGCATTACATCTCAATTTTAAATTGGGCATGAACAAAATCTACAAAATCTTTGGTTCTTTGAAATGGACCTTATAGATATGTACTAGATAATAAACTATATACATGCTGGATAATGGTAAGTGCCAAGTAAAAAAATAAATGCTAAGTAGAAACAAGAGAGAAGTAGGGGAAAGGGTGCTAGAGCAGAGGAGTAGGAGTAGGCAGGTTAGTCATTCTATGCAAGTGATATGAGAAAACCTGTCTAAGAAGATGATGTGTAATCAGACACCAAAGGTAGGACTGCACTCAACCATATGAATCTTAAGGAAGAATGTTCAGGTTGAAGTAAGACTATCAAGTGCAGAAGGTCTAGGGTGGGAGCATGCTTGATGAGTTTTAGAAGTAATAAAGAAGGTAATACCGTGGTTGAAACAGAGTGGGTGGGGGACGTCACAGGAGATGGGGTCATAGATACAGACCTAGGTGTAGAACGTACTGACTACACAATCTGCGGGACCTTGGTTTCCTTTTCTTCTTTGGTGAGAAAGTACGTCATTGGAGGCTTACAATCAGTGACACAACTAAGTGCCAATGACAAGTGGAGCATGAAGGAGCAAACTGTCCTCAGTAAGGATTCAGATGACAGAAAAACAAAACAAAACCCAGTGAGGCTTGATGGCACCTGTGTCACAGTGTCAGGGCTGGAGGTAATGGTCAGCTTCTGGACATTTTCTGAAGGTACAGACAACAGGATTTAGCAAGTGATTATGATGTAGGACATGAGAAAGTCAATAACTACTTTTTTATATAACTCTTTTTTTATTTATGTTTTGTGTGTATATCATACAGAACATCCCAAACAATCTTATTCATCTATATACCCACTTCCCAAGTGGCACCCTCCCATAGCCCTTAATTCTTAAGCCTGGTAACTAATAATGAAAGCATAACAATAATTATTATTTAATATTTTTCATTTATACTATAAAGGTGAATACCATTTTATATTCTATTTCTCCTCAAAAAGTAAATATTGAAGTTAGCTGGATAATGCTAAATCCTATTAACACTCTAGAGATTTCCCAAAGTTTAAAAAAATTCAGTTGTTAGTAGAGGATCTTAAATTAATTTTTAAAAAACACACTTAAATTAATTTAATAGGCTAATGCTAGCTCTATGATAATTATATAACTTAACATAATTATATAATTGTCAAATGCAATACAAAATGTATCCTGTTCAACCACAATTATATCTCACGAAGTCTTTGTTGTAGGATGGCTTCTTTTCTTCTGGCAAAATGCAATCCTATCTTGGTTTGAGTAGAGATATTTTGGTCTGGTAGCCATGGTAACTCTACTGAGCAGGACACTGCAGAGATAACTGTGTCTAAAGTAAAGGAGCTGTTAACATTCTCTGATAGTAGGGAGGGGAGGATCCCAGGACCCTCATCTGGGATTCTAGCCATACTTCCTCCCGCACTCCCCCAGCTGCAAGGATTCTGGGGGATGCTAGAGTATACAAGGAGTGGAAGGCTGGCTGAGAAGCAGACTCTTTGATGCAGTTGTTATGGGTCACCCATGCTCCTGTAAGTAACTGCTTATCTAAGTAACTGCTTTGTAACTAAGCCCAATAAACTCACTGGTTTGCCAAGTTGGACTTGGGTGAAATCATTACTTTGATCTGTTGTTCATTTTTTCATGCCTTACCAGGAAAATTTAATACAAGTGTCCTTTTCAAGTCAACTTCCTACATACAGTTGATCTCTTCAATATTTTCCCTACATGGCTTTCTTTTTTTCATGGGGTTCCCCACCAGCATAAATCCCAGAGACCTTTTTGTATCTTATTTACTACTCTATCCTTAGTGCCTAGATTAAGAGCAATAAATATTTATTGAATTAGTGAACCAATATTTACATATTTCTCAATAAGAACAGAAGTGAGCAGAGTTCGAGGACTGCAAAGATGAGTAAAGCTTAGCCTCAAAGAGTTTACAAACCACAGAGAAGCAGACACACAAAGTAGCTACATGCTAAATGAAAAACAAGGAGCTAGGTGTGTTGGTACATGCCTGCAATCCCACATTTGAGAGGCTGAGGAAGGATTGTGAGTTTGAGATCAGCCTCAAGAGAACAAAAACAAAAAGCAAGTAAACAAAAAAGTTGTGCTAAAAGTTGGAATAAAATGCTATAGAAGCACACAGGAAGAAAAATTTGTGAAGAGGAGGCATAAATCCTGGAGGCTTCCCTGGAGGAGGAGACATTGACCTAAGCTACAAATTTAAGGTATGATTTAGATGGAAGGAAAAGAATAATAATGTAATTGTAAAACACTGTGGTAAGCACTATACCTTAGACTATAGTACCATACCATAGACAGAAGGAAGAGATAGAGCCTTCAATTCTGGAGAGGGGAGCTTCAGACTTACAGGTTTTATTTTGGGGTAGGGTAAGTTCCACACCATGTAATCTAGCCTGGCCTAGATTCAATGTTGCCATAGTCCAGAGGCAGCAACAGTGATGAGGGCAGAGGTTCCCCTCATTTGAGGCCTGAGTACTCTCAAAGTCACAGAAGGCCCTGCTAAGTGCTTTGTCTTCAGGGGAGACTGATCTAACAGAGAATGGTTGTATACCAATGTGAATGTGATTAGCATCTCTGAAATATACATTTAAAAATAGTTTAGGATGCTAGATGGTATACTGGCAGGCAGATTTCTATGAGATTGAGGCCAGCCTGGTCTACATAGTGAATCCTAACCACTGGGGCTACAGGGTGAACCTATCTGAAAACAGCAACAACAACAAGTAACAACAACAAAGAGGGTTAGGGTAGCATACTGTGCAATTCTACCAAGTAGCTCTCCTCCTCTCTTTCCCTACCTGGCCTTAGTTTTCGTGGTGCTTTCCCAGTAGAATAAATCCCAGATGTCAGAGATCTTGTGTCTTATTCACTACTATACTTTCACTCTGTAGAGTAGGAGCTCAGTAATAATACATGTATTTTAAAAGATGGCAAAGTACATCTTAAAATACATACTATCTTTCAAAATGTTGTTGACATTTGGGTGCCTAAGGTTTGCAAGCCTAAGAGAGACAGCTATATAGTCATACGCCATATAATGAGGTTTCAATCAAAATTAGAGAGCATGGACAGTGAGAGAAGAGGAGGGATAAATAATGCCTAGCTAGTCTTAAAAACCCAGAGGGAACCATATTAGTCCACAATGATTGTCTCTTAAGATTGTAATGGAGGGACTGGACAGACTGCTCAGCAGTTAGGAACACCTGCTGCTCTTGCAGAGGACCTGGGTTTGGCTCCCATCACCCCACAACAGTAGTTAAAAACCATCTGTAGATTTTGGGAAAGCAGCAGCACCAGATCCAAGATGGCAGCCACCAGGAGGCTGATGAAGGAGCTTTAAGAGATCTGCAAATGTGGAATGAAAAACTGTAAAATCCAGGTTGATGAAGTTAATTTATTGATGTAGCAAGGGTTTATTGTTCCTGGTAACCCTCCATATGATAAGGGAGCCTTCAGAATTGAAATAAATTTTCCAGCAGAGTATCCATTCAAACCACAGGATCACATTTAAAATGAAGATCTACCACCCTAACATTGATGAAAAGGGGCAGGTTTGCCTGCCAGTAATTAGTGCTTAAAACTGGAAGACAGTGACCAAGACTGACCAAGTAATCCAGTCCCTCATAGCACTGGTGAAAGATCTAAAGCCTGAGCACCCACACTGGGCTGACCTAGCTGAAGAATACTCAGAGGACTATAAAAATTTTGTAAGAACACTGAAGAGTTTAGAAATATGGGGAAAACGACCTGTGGACTAAAATCTGCTGTGAATGATTCCACCTAGTGTGAGCAGAGACCCCAAGCGGTGCATTCAGACACCCGCACACAGGACTCTGTGGAAATGACACATGCCACCACCTGGAATTTGCTTGTGACAGTTACTAATGTTCTACAGTTTTCTTAATCAAAAGTGGTCTAGGTAGCCTGTAAGGAAAGGATTAAAATTTTCAGATGTTCTAGTTCTGAAAAAACAAAAAACCATTTGTAACTTCAATCTCAGAGGATCTGACATGGTCTTCTAACCTTTGCAGGCACCAGGCACACACATGGTATTACATACAAACATGCAGGAAAAACACTCATACATATTTAAAAAAAAAGATTGCAATGAAGTTGAAATATTCTTGTTATTTACTTTGTCAAGGCTGTTGTTATAAAATACCCATGTGGCAGGAGGATGTCTGTGAGATCGAGGCCAACCTCTACATAGACCAGCTGGGGCTACAGGGAGACCCTGTCTCAAAAAGACCACCAAAAACATAAAATAAAATAAATAAATAAAGTATCCATGTGTTTGTGGACATGCCGATAAAAACAAACCTACCAAGCTGCCAGTCATATAAAAGTATAGCACATAAAATTAGACATAACACATAACATTTGATAGTGGTAAGTTTGTTATTGGCTCAGATACTATAGTATACTTGTAATCACCATTTTAGACAGATAAAGAGAGTACTCCTAATCATAAACAGTGTGCTGTGTTATGCTGGCAGCAGCCTCACACATCTTATGCTCACCATGTGTCCTAATTGCATCACGAGGCCACATCAAGTAATGGAAATATACCATCAAGATTCTATGATGTTTGTGCAATGACAACATTGCTTAACAATGTAACTGGCTGATGTATCCTCATCATCATGTAATGCATGATTATAGTTACTTTGTTTTTGATGAAATGCTTTTCATTAAAACAGTGAAAGAGGCAAAAAGTAAAAATATGGTGATTAACTTTCATTTGTATTTTTATAAATGTAAAACTCTGAATACGAAAAATAAAACCGTCAATTCTTCTCTAATTTCTGAAGCACAACAATAACAACAAGGAATGAACAGATGCTCAGTTCTGCTGGTTAGCGTAGTGAGGCAAGCCCAGGTGGGGCCACAGGACAACCTTTAGATCTGGTTCTGTCTTTCCAGCTAGTTTATGTGACCCTGGGGATTAAACTCAGGCGGGTGGGTTTGTGCAGCAAGTACATTTATCCACTGAGCAGCTCTGCTGGCCATCCACTTTACTTTTTGCAATAGGATTTCTTGTTAAACCTGGCGCTCACTTATTTGGCTAGGCTGGCTATTAAGTGAGCCCTAGGGATCTACCTGTTCTCTACCCCACCCATTCAGTGCTGAGATTACCCCATGTGTGCCATTATACTCATATTTTATGTGGGGGCTGGGGATCTAGACTCAGGTCTTCATACTTGGGTGGTAATCATTTTACTAAGCCATCTCCTCAATCTTGTTTATGAAATTTCTTTAATCACATATTATTTCAAGTTCTTCTGCATATGGTGGGGACACCTATAACACCATCAGTTATGGTATGCAAATAACACTGGCTGCAGTCTCAATTTCAATGACTAAATATTTTTGAATTTTAAAATACCCTTAAAGTTTCTAATAAAATTCTCCAAGTTGGTATCAACTTTTGTTAGTTTGTTTTTGTTTTTTGAGAAAGGGTCTTATTCTATAGTCCTGGCTGGCTTAGCACTTGCTATGTAGACCAGGCTATCACTGAACTTACCCATTCTTCCTGCCTCTGCCTCTCAAAGGCTTAAGTTATAGGCACACACCACTATTCCCGACTCATTAGCTAATGTCTTAAGCATATTGATCATACTTATTTTAATATACATTTCTGCCAATATCTGGACAAAATTTAGGTCTATTTTAAAAAATATTTTATTTATTATTCTTATTTGTATTTTCTGTGTATGAGTATATTCCCTGCACATATACAAGTGCGTCTGTGCTGCGCAATGCTCACAGAGGTCAGATGAGTGTGTCTGATTCCCTGGAACTGGAGTTATGATGGTTGTTAGCTGTGATGTGGAAGCGTGGAACTGAACTTGGGTCCTCTGCAAGAGCAGCTAATGCTCTTAACCCTGAGTCATCTCTTCAGCCTCCAAATTTAGATCTATTTTTATTGTCTGAGTTTCTTCTTTATTTTCTAATGTTTGATCTTTTCTCATACTTTGCCTGGTAATTTTAAAATGAGAAATACACACTGCAGGCTAAACATGCTGCCACACACAAGTCATATCAGCATTTAAGAGGGGGAGGCAATGATGATTGAGTTTGAAGCCAGTTTGAACTATGAAGTGAGACCTTGCTTCACACAACAATTTAAATCCTCAAACAGACGCTGTACTTGAATTACTACAGACTACTCTGAGGTCTGCGTGGCCTTATTCACTACTCTTTGTGAGGGTTAATTTGTTTCTGTTTTCCCTTTACTCTTAAGGCACAGGCTTTCCAATGGGATCATCGGAAAGCTGGGGTTAAAATCCATCCTTCTTGGTGGGCCATGAACTTTAATTTTTTCTTCTTTGCTATCTAAGACTACAAAATGCCTGCTTTAGTCCCCTTGAAATTATGATCATATTATATAATAAACCACTATGCTATTTTAGGAACTAACATTTTTAGTATAGTCTTTCTACCTAGGAACATGACTTATCCCATCATTTATTCAGATACATCTCTTGTCAAAATTATCTGGGTCTTTTTAAAAAGAAACATAACTTCTCAAATTTCTTATTAGGAGTAGAAAAATATATAGGTTGATCCTGGAATGAATGTGAAGGACAGGTAAGTATAGTATAAAAGCAAGAATACTTTTTTGGCTAATATTATTATCATGTATCTTTTAAATCATAATTTTCCTGAAATGCCACTAAAATGTTGGTATAAAAAACTGTTCAAGGTATCAACTCACAAAAATAAAACTATGTTAGGGCAAAAAGAACATGGAAAAGTCTCTGGACCCTGAGGCATCAGACACTGCTGGGAGTGGAGGGGCAAGAGCTAGAAACAGTAGCCCAACACTTGTTATAGAAAAGGATTAGTTCCAAAAGTTTTTCCCTTCCTTAAATAGCTAAAAGTAAGTATCTACTTCCATCTTCCCAATTTTCCGGATCTAAGAAGTATTTTCTCTGGTTAAAAAATCTGTACACAAGAGAACAAGGCTTTGTACGAAGCTACATAAGGACTAAACAGTAGGTTGAGTAAAACTTCATATGGCTCACAGAGCACTCTGTAGTTTCTGCACTTCATAGGAGAGCTCTGGAGTTCCTGCGCCTCACAGGAGAGTGCTGGCTCCTTCCTTCACCTGCACCCACGACACTGAAGCAAAGTGTTCATTTCTTTTAGTCATAAGATTACATGACCATTTTCTGGAGAAACTAAGAGCCCTGTAGAAAATTCTTCCATATTTGGCCTGTGAGGTTCAAGAGCCTTTGCCACTAGGATATTTTATATAGGGATTCTTTTTTTTTTCACAATTTTATTTATTATTTTTATTTT